CTCTTTCAACCAATGACAGGGCGCGTTATATCCGAACTTTATTATAAATATATACAGACCATAAACTTCCTAAACGTCTCTTTTATCCTAACACACGATACAGTACGTCCACCGCGAGACCAAGCCGTCCCCCCACCCCCCATACCAAAAAGCACGCGACGAATGTGGATACCGGCATACTCTACACTACGAACCACCCACAACTAACAAACAGAAAAACAGGCAACGGAACAACATACTCTGGTACAACCCTCCATTCAGCAAAAACGTCCGCACCAATATCGGACACAGACAAGCATTTCCCTAAAGACCACAAACTTAGAAAAAACTTCAACCGCAACACCATCAAGATCAGTTTCAGCAGCATGAATAACACTAAGCAGATTATCGACAATCACAATAAGCACATTTTGTGCCCATCCGAACACATCGATAGCACCGCAGATGACACCGTAATTAACATAAAACATGCAACTGCCGACAAAGTAATACATGCCCACTCAACGGAAACTGCCTCCAATCATCAGTTCTCTACCAAGCCACCGTCACAGTTAAGGACAATAGCGCTAGTGAAACGTACATCGGACTTCAAAACAAGATACAGAAACCACACTGCATCATTCCGACATGCAAAACACAGAAACTCTACCGAACTCAGAAAAAATATCTGGACTCTTAAAGACAATAAAATTAGCCACTTTATTTCATAGCGCATCCTTTTATCAAGTTCACCCTAAAATCGCGCAAGTAAAAGATACAACCTCTGCCTTAAGGAAAAAGTACTAATCATCTGCCGAACTGAATTGTCATCACTTAACAGACGTAATGAACTCGTGTCTTCATGCCGTCAGAGAAACAAAGCGTTGCTACATAACAGCTGGACAAAGAAGCTAAATTTACCGCCACATCTATCGTGCAAATTTTATAGTTAACTGAAAGATAGTTACAAATGTTCCTGTCATTAAAATCCCCTGAAGAGTGAGTTAATCACAAAACAGGCTTGTCGTGGCGAAAGCGTAGTCTCTTTGCTTTTTTCCCTAACTCAATACATATGTATATATATATATATATAGCGCAGGTTTTGCGCTATCTTTGGTGTCGTATGACTGCTTGATTGTAGCCATAAAAGTCAAACATAACTTTGAAAAAAGACGTCCGACGGTATGAATATCATCTCACCGAGAAATGGCTACAACGATGGTGCATTTTGACCATTTCTGGCGTTCAACGGTACGACTTTGAGTGAAACTGTTCGGTGCGTGCATTAAATTGTTGCTTTTTTATCATTATTGAAATGAGCAATAAAGCCCTTGTGAAATTTCCAAGTTACTGCAATGTTCACTATGTCTTTCACAGGTACATCCATTTTTCACCGTCATTAATTTGATAATTTGATCTACATTATACTAAACAAATGGGCTCTTAAAACTAAAAAATCGGCGAAGCTGAAACAAAGACTTTGGAAGAGAGGCTCTACCTTAATACAGAATCCCTAAAAAACTTACAGAATTTCATTTGAACAAAACGGCAAGAACAAACGATTAAATTGTTTTATTGAAGGACAAAAATGATAAGTTAACCAATAAAGAAAATCTTCAATGTCTAGTATTTTCAAGTTGCTTTTCAGTCTTGTTCTTGTATAACAATTAACGTAAATAGAAAAACTTCATTCATACTGGGCTTTTTTTTTTAACTCTAAAGCTATTCATAGCTTGTAATACACGTGGCTTGACCGGCGTGTCCTGCCGTGGCAAGGAAGAACTTTTAAACGCATGACTTCCGAAGCGAAGATGTTGCAACATCCAGTTTAATTGTCATTAGTGGCTATGATTAGATTTTTATGACGCCAATCAGTAGTACCTGAAAAGTACAATTGAAAGAGCTTTGGTATCGGTACAAAGAAAGAAGAAAAGAAAAAAATGCAGATTATTGAACTGACGCAAGAAGAGAGTGTTATTTTTCTAAGAGTGAAAATGTCTGATTTAAACAAAAGATCAGCTGTTATCGAACGCTACGTGGAAAGTGCGAAAAAAATGGTGTACATGAATGTCTAGCATGACCCGAAGCGTGAAGTTGGTTTTCATCTCTTAGGAGTCAAATTGTTGCGTGCTTAGGCTACAAAAGGAAAAAAAAAAAAAAATGGATTCCCCTGAGGCGGTTACTATTTGGAACAAGAAACGTGCAATTTTGGAGTATTTCCAAGACGTCCCAATTCCATGATACGTATCAAGTGTTAGTTTAATGAGGAGGAGACGTTCTAAAGACTTAAAAAAACTAATCTTTTACGTGAGGTCTAACCGAAAAAATGTCGACTTTATGATAAAATTATTCATAACCAGGTGTCCATGCTAAAAAAAATGAAACTTAATTCAAAAGATGTATATTTAAATTACGCTGCTGTTGTTAAAGTGGAAAGTAGGAAAGAGTTTAGCCGAAGGATTGAGAATCCAAGGCGCCTTTTACTGTAATTTTGTTGAGACTGATCGAACATAGGAACCACTTCTCAAATTTGTGGCTGGACTTTAGACAAGGAGAGATCAACAGGTAATTGTATCAAATGTTTAGTCTTACTTTTCCACGATTTCTATGCCCGCTCTGAGTTTATTTAGTTTGGGAAACGCTGGACGCCACCTCAGTAAATGAGAAGAGCAATGCGCTTAATGTTGCCTTGACATCATGTTGTGTAATTTTATTTTATTTTTTTTTGCCGCAAGACATTCGCCTTTTTCGCGTTGTTTGTTTGAAATATTCGCGATAGATACTTCTTCTTTTCATCCTTAAAAATGGCTCAACCTCACAACAGGCATTTGAGGATAACTTGAATCTTTCGCTCCCAAGTATGAGTAAAAATTAAGATATCCTTGTAAAACCGATACATCTTTTTGAGCAGGCAGGTGATGAGAATAAATGAAAATATTGTCTAAGGAATATTCTTTGATTAAATCCTAGAGCTAGCATGCTAATAACACTGATAAATTTAGCTTCTTCTGTGCCAGTTATTTCACGAAAACTCTGTCTTTGTTATTTGTAACACATCTTCATCATTTTGCTTACTGTGGGCGTCGTTAAGCGCAGCTGGATGCTTGGTCCTCCATTCTGAAGCACAATGCTGAGATTTGATCCACGGTAATAAAAGGCTAAGCGGTTTTCCTCTCAATAGGTGGGATTATCAAAAGCTTTTTTACAGATTTTACGTACTTCTGGAACCCTTATAATCTCTGGTAAATGTGCTAAATAGGGCATAACCTCTTTCCTACATAGGAAAGAGTAAAACGAATCACGATTTTTTGATAGACATTGCAAACCAATTTCTAGTAATTCCCGAAAAATTTGATGCCGAATAACTTCTTTCTTTTTAAAACACAGAACATTTTCGAGCGACTATTTCCTTTTGAGTTGATGTTTATCGCCGTTGTTATCACTTTCAAACATGTTTAAATATATGTCTAATGTGATCTGTTTGTTTAACAACATAAATGACTTCACAAGGCCTTTCTTCTGAGACGGATAACTGAGCCTTGCATCTGAGTTTGAGCATGATCAACGCTGCGCACGAGACTACATTTATAATCAACTTTTTTGGCGATATGTTAACAAAGCTA